GTCACACGGAGGGCTGGAGTGTGACAGTAAGGGCTGGATTGACACAGTAAGGCCTGGAGTGTCACACTGAGGGCTGGAGTGTCACACTGAGGGCTGGAGTGTCAAACTGAGGGCTGGAGTGTGACAGTAAGGGCTGGAGTGTCACACTGAGGGCTGGAGTGTGACAGTAAGGGCTGGAGTATCACACAAGGAGGGCTGGATTGACACAGTAAGGGCTGGAGTGTCACACTGAGGGCTGGAGTGTCACACTGAGGGCTGGAGTGTCACACTGAGGGCTGGAGTGTCACACTGAGGGCTGGAGTGTCACACTGAGGGCGGGAGTGTCACACTGAGGGCTGGAGTGTCACACTGAGGGCTGGAGTGTCACACTGAGGGCTGGAGTGTCACACTGAGGGCTGGAGTGTCACACTGAGGGCTGGAGTGTCACACTGAGGGCTGGAGTGTCACACTGAGGGCTGGAGTGTCAAACTGAGGGCTGGAGTGTCACAGTAAGGGCTGGAGTGTGACAGTAAGGGCTGGAGTGTCACTGTAAGGGCTGGAGTGTCACTGTAAAGGCTGGAGTGTCACTGTAAGGGCTGGAGTGTCACACTGAGGGCTGGAGTGTGACAGTAAGGGCTGGATTGACACAGTAAGGGCTGGAGTGTCACACTGAGGGCTGGAGTGTGACACTGAGGGCTGGAGTATCACACAAGGAGGGCTGGAGGGTCACAGTAAGGGCTGGAGTGTCACAGTAAGGGCTGGAGTGTCACACTGAGGGCTGGAGTGTCACACTGAGGGCTGGAGTGTCACACTGAGGGCTGGAGTGTCACACTGAGGGCTGGAGTGTGACAGTAAGGGCTGGATTGACACAGTAAGGGCTGGAGTGTCACACTGAGGGCTGGAGTGTGACAGTAAGGGCTGGAGTATCACACAAGGAGGGCTGGATTGACACAGTAAGGGCTGGAGTGTCACACTGAGGGCTGGAGTGTCACACTGAGGGCTGGAGTGTCAAACTGAGGGCTGGAGTGTCAAACTGAGGGCTGGAGTGTCAAACTGAGGGCTGGAGTGTGAAAGTAAGGGCTGGAGTGTCACTGTCACACTGTAAAGGCTGGAGTGTCACACTAAGGGCTGGAGTGTCACACAGTAAGGGCTGGATTGACACAGTAAGGGCTGGAGTGTCACACTGAGGGCTGGAGTGTGACACTGAGGGCTGGAGTATCACACAATGAGGGCTGGAGTGTCACAGTAAGGGCTGGAGTGTCACAGTAAGGGCTAGAGTGTCACACTGAGGGCTGGGGTGTCACACTGAGGGCTGGAGTGTCACACTGAGGGCTGGAGTGTGACAGTAAGGGCTGGATTGAGTGTCACACTGAGGGCTGCAGTGTGACACTGACTGGAGTATCACACAAGGAGGGCTGGAGTGTCACACTGAGGGCTGGGGTGTCACACTGAGGGCTAGAGTGTCACACTGAGGGCTGGAGTGTCACACTGAGGGCTAGAGTGTCACACTGAGGGCTGGAGTGTCACACTGAGGGCTGGAGTGTCACACTGAGGGCTGGAGTGTCACACTGAGGGCTGGAGTGTCACACTGAGGGCTGGAGTGTCACACTGAGGGCTGGAGTGTCACACTGAGGGCTGGAGTGTCACACTGAGGGCTGGAGTGTCACACTGAGGGCTGGAGTGTCACACTGAGGGCTGGAGTGTCACACTGAGGGCTGGAGTGTCACACTGAGGGCTGGAGTGTCACACTGAGGGCTGGAGTGTCACACTGAGGGCTGGAGTGTCACACTGAGGGCTGGAGTGTCACACTGAGGGCTGGAGTGTCACACTGAGGGCTGGAGTGTCACACTGAGGGCTGGAGTGTCACACTGAGGGCTGGAGTGTCACACTGAGGGCTGGAGTGTCACACTGAGGGCTGGAGTGTCACACTGAGGGCTGGAGTGTCACACTGAGGGCTGGAGTGTCACACTGAGGGCTGGAGTGTCACACTGAGGGCTGGAGTGTCACACTGAGGGCTGGAGTGTCACACTGAGGGCTGAGTGTCACACTGAGGGCTGAGTGTCACACTGAGGGCTGGAGTGTCACACTGAGGGCTGGAGTGTCACACTGAGGGCTGGAGTGTCACACTGAGGGCTGGAGTGTCACACTGAGGGCTGGAGTGTCACACTGAGGGCTGGAGTGTCACACTGAGTGTCACACTGAGGGCTGGAGTGTCACACTGAGGGCTGGAGTGTCACACTGAGGGCTGGAGTGTCACACTGAGGGCTGGAGTGTCACACTGAGGGCTGGAGTGTCACACTGAGGGCTGGAGTGTCACACTGAGGGCTGGAGTGTCACACTGAGGGCTGGAGTGTCACACTGAGGGCTGGAGTGTCACACTGAGGGCTGGAGTGTCACACTGAGGGCTAGAGTGTCACACTGAGGGCTGGAGTGTCACACTGAGGGCTGGAGTGTCACACTGAGGGCTGGAGTGTCACACTGAGGGCTGGAGTGTCACACTGAGGGCTGGAGTGTCACACTGAGGGCTGGAGTGTCACACTGAGGGCTGGAGTGTCACACTGAGGGCTGGAGTGTCACACTGAGGGCTGGAGTGTCACACTGAGGGCTGGAGTGTCACACTGAGGGCTGGAGTGTCACACTGAGGGCTGGAGTGTCACACTGAGGGCTGGAGTGTCACACTGAGGGCTGGAGTGTCACACTGAGGGCTGGAGTGTCACACTGAGGGCTAGAGTGTCACACTGAGGGCTGGAGTGTCACACTGAGGGCTGGAGTGTCACACTGAGGGCTGGAGTGTCACACTGAGGGCTAGAGTGTCACACTGAGGGCTGGAGTGTCACACTGAGGGCTGGACACTGAGGGCTGAGTGTCACACTGAGGGCTGGAGTGTCACACTGAGGGCTGGAGTGTCACACTGAGGGCTGGAGTGTCACACTGAGGGCTGGAGTGTCACACTGAGGGCTGGAGTGTCACACTGAGGGCTGGAGTGTCACACTGAGGGCTGGAGTGTCACACTGAGGGCTGGAGTGTCACACTGAGGGCTGGAGTGTCACACTGAGGGCTGGAGTGTCACACTGAGGGCTGGAGTGTCACACTGAGGGCTGGAGTGTCACACTGAGGGCTGGAGTGTCACACTGAGGGCTGGAGTGTCACACTGAGGGCTGGAGTGTCACACTGAGGGCTGGAGTGTCACACTGAGGGCTGGAGTGTCACACTGAGGGCTGGAGTGTCACACTGAGGGCTGGAGTGTCACACTGAGGGCTGGAGTGTCACACTGAGGGCTGGAGTGTCACACTGAGGGCTGGAGTGTCACACTGAGGGCTGGAGTGTCACACTGAGGGCTGGAGTGTCACACTGAGGGCTGGAGTGTCACACTGAGGGCTGGAGTGTCACACTGAGGGCTGGAGTGTCACACTGAGGGCTGGAGTGTCACACTGAGGGCTGGAGTGTCACACTGGAGTGTCACACTGCTGGAGTGTCACACTGAGGGCTGGAGTGTCACACTGAGGGCTGGAGTGTCACACTGAGGGCTGGAGTGTCACACTGAGGGCTGGAGTGTCACACTGAGGGCTGGAGTGTCACACTGAGGGCTGGAGTGTCACACTGAGGGCTGGAGTGTCACACTGAGGGCTGGAGTGTCACACTGAGGGCTGGAGTGTCACACTGAGGGCTGGAGTGTCACACTGAGGGCTGGAGTGTCACACTGAGGGCTGGAGTGGCTGGAGTGTCACACTGAGGGCTGGAGTGTCACACTGAGGGCTGGAGTGTCACACTGAGGGCTGGAGTGTCACACTGAGGGCTGGAGTGTCACACTGAGGGCTGGAGTGTCACACTGAGGGCTGGAGTGTCACACTGAGGGCTGGAGTGTCACACTGAGGGCTGGACACTGAGGGCTGGAGTGTCACACTGAGGGCTGGAGTGTCACACTGAGGGCTGGAGTGTCACACTGAGGGCTGGAGTGTCACACTGAGGGCTGGAGTGTCACACTGAGGGCTGGAGTGTCACACTGAGGGCTGGAGTGTCACACTGAGGGCTGGAGTGTCACACTGAGGGCTGGAGTGTCACACTGAGGGCTGGAGTGTCACACTGAGGGCTGGAGTGTCACACTGAGGGCTGGAGTGTCACACTGAGGGCTGGAGTGTCACACTGAGGGCTGGAGTGTCACACTGAGGGCTGGAGTGTCACACTGAGGGCTGGAGTGTCACACTGAGGGCTGGAGTGTCACACTGAGGGCTGGAGTGTCACACTGAGGGCTGGAGTGTCACACTGAGGGCTGGAGTGTCACACTGAGGCTGGAGTGTCACACTGAGGGCTGGAGTGTCACACTGAGGGCTGGAGTGTCACTGAGGGCTGAGTGTCACACTGAGGGCTGGAGTGTCACACTGAGGGCTGGAGTGTCACACTGAGGGCTGGAGTGTCACACTGAGGGCTGGAGTGTCACACTGAGGGCTGGAGTGTCACACTGAGGGCTGGAGTGTCACACTGAGGGCTGGAGTGTCACACTGAGGGCTGGAGTGTCACACTGAGGGCTGGAGTGTCACACTGAGGCTGGAGTGTCACACTGTCACACTGAGGGCTGGAGTGTCACACTGAGGGCTGAGTGTCACACTGAGGGGCTGAGTGTCACACTGAGGGCTGGAGTGTCACACTGAGGCTGGAGTGTCACACTGAGGGCTGGAGTGTCACACTGAGGGCTGGAGTGTCACACTGAGGGCTGGAGTGTCACACTGAGGGCTGGAGTGTCACACTGAGGGCTGGAGTGTCACACTGAGGGCTGGAGTGTCACATGAGGGCTGGAGTGTCACACTGAGGCTGGAGTGTCACACTGAGGGCTGGAGTGTCACACTGAGGGTGGAGTGTCACACTGAGGGCTGGAGTGTCACACTGAGGGCTGGAGTGTCACACTGAGGGCTGGAGTGTCACACTGAGGGCTGGAGTGTCACACTGAGGGCTGGAGTGTCACACTGAGGGCTGCAATACAACAAGGACACATGGTGTGACAACATAAGAGTGAGGACACTCACCAGAGGGTGTTGGTGGTAGGTGGGGGGGCAGGAGGCGGGGTCGAGGAGGTCCGGTATGGTGAGCTGGGGATGGTGAGGGCTGCCGTAGACCACGCCCACCTTCACCACCACAACCACAACCTGTCACGCACAATATTCTATTAACATTACAAAAAATCGAATATAAATTTTTCCGCAATTACGCATGTTATAGGAAGACCCTGGAGGCGAGAGTAGCCACATCCAGGTAGTGTTGATGTGTATAAGGCAGGTGATATAGTGCAGGCGACATATAGGGAAAACGATATATAGTGCAGGCGATATATATAGGGCCAACGATATATAGTGTAGGCGATATATATAGGGCCGACGATATATAGGGCAGACGATATGTAGCGCAGGTGGAATATAGGGCAGGTGATATATAGGGCCGACGATATATAGTGCAGGCGATATATAGGGCAGGCGATATATAGTGTAGGAGATATATATAGGGCCGACGATATATAGGGCAGGCGATATATAGTGTAGGAGATATATATAGGGCCGACGATATATAGGACAGGCGATATATAGTGTAGGAGATATATATAGGGCCGACGATATATAGGACAGGCGATATATAGTGTAGGAGATATATATAGGGCCGACGATATATAGGACAGGCGATATATAGGACAGGCATATAGAGAGACACATAAAACATAAACAAAATAAACGCAGAATACATACAGAAAATAACAATAGAGGCACAAGCAAAGAAATATCCCGAAGAGCCTCAGCAAAACACAAACAAGCTCACTAATAGTACACGATTACATGTACAAACCGGATCACCCCCCCCCCCCCCCCGGCAAGAGCCATGAGAAAACACCCACACGCACACACACAATGTCCCCCCCCCACCCCCCTGTGCACGCAGGCACGGGGAAAACAGAGCCACACACACACACACACACACACACACACACACACACCAGAGTAAACACTAAGCAAATCAGAGCAAACAAGTAAACAAAACACAAACACATGCTTATCCGGATACTTAGGTGCCGGGAACCATATACAATACGCCTCCTAAAGCAACTGGGTGTACTCCGAACACCCAGATCTGAACACCGGGAGCCGCATATGGCCGAAGCATTAAGCCCGCCACACCCCTGACAAAACACTGTTCTCGCGGAACCCAACCGCAAGTTGGTTCCCAGGGAACCGGGAGCACGCGATTAATAATATCAAAATGCACATTGGTAAAATCACACACCTCCCCGGAGGCCAAGACGATAGGAAAGGGCTTCGCCCTAGCGGGCCAGGCACAAGACAGCGCAAATAATGGCACACCGAGGGGGCGCACAGGGCTGCGCACCAGCGCGTTCACTAGGTCCCACCTCGGGCGCCGCACAGGCCTCCTCACTTCCCGCTGGGACCCACCACGGTGGGCATCCTTCTTCAGCACCATGACGATTCCACGGCCAGCACCAGCACCCACAGCACCAGCACCCACAGCACCGATAGCAGGAGCAGCAACCACCTCCCACCTCAGAGAGCCGCCCGCCGGAGGCAGAACTGAAGGCACGTCAGAGATCAACCTGTCCTCTTAAAAAGAACGTCGCTTTTGGCCGTTTACCCGTATGGCCGAATTTGGACGTAATTTGAAAATGAAAAAAAATGAAAATAAATTTGGGATTTTTTTTTCAACAACAGTAAGTTAAGGGTCCTCTGATAGGTTAGGTGGGCAGGAAATTCTCATTAAGTTTCAAAACGTTATGAAAAACGTTAATTTAAAGTGTCCTCTTATAACCTCTGCGCGTACGCCGGACGACTCAAATAGAAAACGGAACAGAACGTCACTTTTGTGAGTCGATTTCATTTCAAATTACGTCCAAATTTGGCCATAGTGCCGCGCATACGGGTTGCAGAGATACGGGCACCGGCGTCATCAGCATCATCAGGCACATGGACCTGCGCCACCACCAACTGCGTAGAGTGCGACGCACCCGGAACCACCCCTTCGACACCCGAAGATTCACAGTCACTGAAGTCGCCCACATCCGCCCAGATGAACACCGGGAACACTTGGGCTCCGGCCGTACATCGTCAGAGCCGGAGGCAGATTCAAAAATACGGGCCCCACAAGCCGGGCAGACTGACACACAACGCAAGACAGCAGCAGCTTCAACCACAGGGGGAACCGGGCCGCACACAGCAGGAGGCGATGCCGCCACCCCATCATCCAGCACAGTCGGGACACAAGGTGAGGGCGCAGGACCAGGCGCAGGAGCAGGCGCAGGACCAGGCGCAGGAAACGAGGAAGAGGAAGGCGCTGACGACGCACAGAGACTGCCCGGAAGGTCCTCGGGAGCAGCTGGGACAGAGACCAGAGCAGGAAGAACCGCCGACGGCGCCGCAACACCCTGAAGAACTAGAATAGAACCAGTGAAGAACAGAGGTGCCATAGGCACAATCAGAGAACACTGTATAAACATCAGAGGTTCGCGGTTGTTCAACGTCCTCCCAGCAAGCATAAGAAATATTGCCGGAACAACCGTGGACATTTTCAAGAGGAAACTAGATTTATTCCTCCAAGGAGTGCCGGACCAACCGGGCTGTGGTGGGTATGTGGGCCTGCGGGCCGCTCCAAGCAACAGCCTGGTGGACCAAACTCTCACAAGTCAAGCCTGGCCTCGGGCCGGGCTTGGGGAGTAGAAGAACTCCCAGAACCCCATCAACCAGGTATCAACCAGGTATCAAGGAGGGCCCACAACACCCTGAGGCGTACAGGGAGACGCAGGGGGAGCCGCAGCAGTGAATGGGACGCCCACCTCCTCACCCCCGGAGTCCTCCTCCAGAGGGAGCGGCGGGAAATCCTCTTCCCGGAACATGTTCATGGGAGCAATCGCAGTCCCAGTGCACCCCGGCAGCCTGATGCCCCAACAGGCCACAACGAAAGCATGTGCGGCGGCTGCTTGGCATAATACACCCGCCTAAAAGCCTGACCGAAGATGAAATGTCTGATCTTAGAGTATGCCGCACCATCATCCAATCTGAAGAAACACACAAGGAAACTAGAAAAGATTCGGAATTTTGCGACGAGGATTGTCCCAGCGTTACGAGGGATGGGATATGAAGAGCGCCTGATGGAACTGAACCTTACGACACTAGAAAGAGAAGGGAGAGGGGGGATATGATAGAAATATATAAAATACTCAGGGGAATTTACAAAGTGGAATTAGATAAAATGTTCACACGTAATATTTATTTATTTATTTATATATATACAAGAAGTTACATTGGGTTTATGAGAGTACATAGCATGATGTGTTTACATTCTTGTAAAGCCACTAGTACGCATAGCGTTTCTGGCAGGTGCTTAATCTAACATATGATATTAAGTAGGTAATTTCTAACAAAATTTATGAAATGTTTACAGGTGCATTGTAAGAAAATTTGAGAGAGATTAGTAGGTATATTAAATCACGATAAAGCACATTGAAAGCTTTGATTGAAAGCATTGAAAGCTTTGATTGAAAGCATTGAAAGCTTTGATTGAAGCATTGATAGCTTGATTGATAATATGACAAAGATTAGTTGGCACATTAAAGCACACTGATTGCACATATAAGATGATAGCAATGTTTAATGGAAAAGTGTTAGGCTTAGGTATATATATATTGGGGGATTGGGTAGCACACAATGTGTGTTCAATAACAACCTTGATATAAGATGATAGCAGTGATTACAATGGTAAAGTTATATGATTTAGGTACATGTATTGGGGGATTGGTAACACAAAATACAGATACAGTGGGTACTGATACAACAGGATAAACTTGCACTGGAAAGTGAGTGTGTTTAAAGCACTAGGTAGGAAACTATGAGGATGAAATTAGGTATTTTTGGTTTTATTTTCGTATAAGGCAAAAGTTGGACAGCTTTTCAATTAGTTAGGGAGTGAGTTCCATAGACTAGGTCCCTTTATTTGCATAGAGTGCTTACACAGATTAAGTTTGACTCTGGGAATATCAAAGAGATATTTATGTCTGGTGTGGTGATTATGTGTTCTATTACATCTTTTCAGGAAGAGTTTCATAGCAGGGTTTGCACTTAAGAAAAGGGTTTTGTAAATGTAATTGGCTCAAGAGAATGTGTGGAGTGAAGTTATGTTTAGCATGTTTAGGAATTAAAACAGGGGGGGGGGGGGCGGGCTGAGTGTTGTCTGAAAGCAGAGTTTGTTTTTGCTCTGATAGCAAATTTTTGCTGGGTGATGATGGGCTTGAGGTAGTTTGCAGAGGTTGAACCCCAAGCACAGATACCATAAGTAAGATAGGCATAGATAAGTGCATAATATAGAGAGAGGAGAGCAGAGTTAGGTACATAATATCTGATTTTAGAGAGTAGACCAACTGTTTTAGAGACTTTCTTAGGTATGTGTTTTATATGGATACTGAAGTTGAGTCTTTTGTCCAAGTATAGGCCAAGGAACTTTCTATAATTTTTATTGCTGATGTTAACATTGTCTATCTAAAGCTGAATTGCATTTGTTGATTTGATGTAGTAGGTCTTTTCTATGATTAGTGAGTTTGTTGGTTGACATCCACAAGTGTACTTTTTTTTAATTCATTGTTTACAAAATTATTTAATATGAGTGGGTCGGGGTCTGAGTAGATGAGGGTAGTATCATCAGCAAACAATATAGGATTAAGCATGTTAGAGACATTAGGCAGATCATTGATGTATATATGAAATAAGAGGAGTGCTAGGATGCTGCCCTGTGGCACCCCTACGGTTAATGGTAGAGTGGGAGAGGTTATATCATTGATGGCTACATATTGGTGTCTGTCACTAGGACAGGATCGAATAAAGTTCAGGCCAATGCCTCGGATTCCATAGTGGTGGAGTTTAGGTAAGAGGTAGTTATGGTTTACAGAATCAAAAGCCTTTCCTCAGGTCAATGAACAGTCCAATCGGAAACTCACTTTTGTCAAGGGCTGAGTAGATTAAATCAAGCAGATTGGTAAATCAAAGCAGATTATCATTGGTAATCTTTTGGGAGCGGAAGCCAAACTGACGGGAACTTAGTATGTTGAATTTTACGAGAAAGGAATAGAGCTGTTCGTAAATAATTTTTCAAATATTTTTGA